GCGTGTGTGTGTGTGTGTGTGTGTGTTAAATGTGTGTCGAATTGGAGGCCCCCTTGGGGCCGTCTCGGTGCTCTCTTGGGGTGTTTTGGGCGCGTCCAGGGCCGTTTCGGGCTTCTCTTGGGCCGTCGTGGGGCCCTTTGGGGGGCCTCTTGGGGGCCTCTTGGGCCGTCTCAGGGCGGTGTTTGGGGGCCTCTCTTGACACGTCGTGGAGAACCGAAAACTCGAACACCTAAAAACTAAGGAAAATAATTTGCTTTCGCCTCTTGCGATCATCTGGGAGACGATCATCGAGTCCTCTTGGGCCGTATGGAGGCATCTTAGGAAGGAAGACTCGAATTACCGCTTTGGGCTCCTGCGCTCGGGCCCCTCTTGGGACCGTCTCGGGGCGTCTTGGGCGCATCTACGGCCGCTTGGGGCCCCCTTGGGCCGTCGTTGGGCACTCCTGATGGCCTCTTGGCCCGTCTCAGGACGGTCGTAGGGGCATCTGGGGACGTCGTGGAGCGCAGGAAGCTGGAAACGTAGAGAACAAAATATTGAGAAACCTATGGATAATTCAAAAGTGTTGCTCCTGGGGGCCCTCTGGGGGGCGCTCGGCGAGCCCTCTTAAGATGACGACGACCACGTCGATAAGAATGAGGAAGGACCAAGAATCCGGTAGCGGACGGACTCGGAAAGACCCCCCCGTGGTCACTCCTCACCCGTCTGAAGTCGCGGCGACCATGACGCAAGAAAAACAGGACAAAACGAGGCTGGACAAGAACGGCTGTACGTCTGGTGCCCCTTAAGTGTTGTCATAGGGGCCTTGTGAGGCGACGTTGAGCCGCTGGGACTGCCTGGGCAATGGACGTAATCGAATGGCTGACACACTGAATAGAATGAGGTATTCGCGCCACTCATTCCGCCTGCTCATGTTGTGGCGCTGGTGGCCACCGTGACTGGGTCGTGGGTCAGCAGCCCCTGGATGCCTCTCGGGATGGCTTCGATGGCATGCTGGAGGCCTCTTGCGGGCGTCTGGTGGCCTTCTACGGCGCCATGGGGAGCACCCTAATTAGAAGCCTCCTGAAGGCTTTGGGGGCCGTCCTGAGGGCTTCTTGCGAGTCCTGTGAGCCATCTTGTGAGAAAAACAACGAAGACGCTTCGCGTTCCCCCCCATGGGGTTCGATTGCAAGCTTCTTGGGCTCTCTCGGGCCGTCACGAAACCCTCTTGGGCCGTCTTGGAGCTGCCTTAGGAGCCTTTTTGGCTCTACCGGTGTGACCTTGGAGGCCGTTCTCATTCATGCGATCGGAAGCCGAAAAAACAAAAACAAAAAACTGAAATTATCAAAAACCTGACTTGGAAATCAGTACTGTTGTCGTATTCCCTCTTGAGGAACTCTTGAACTGGGGCCTCCTGGGCGATATTGATGCAGGCAGTCTCTCATCATTAGGAAGCCATCTCGAGACCGCTTGAGCCGCTATGCAACTGTCTTGAGGCGCTTCTGGAGGATCTTCGAGCCATCCTTGCCGTCCCAGAGGCCCCAGAGGGCCGCACCACACCGTCGGATAATTAGTGAGTGCCCTTCGGGTCCCGGCCCTGGACTCCGAGCATTTGTTGATGTACCCACATATGTTTGCCAAAAAGGACCCCAATGTATGAGTTATATATGCTGTCCAAGCCATGTGGAGTAAACCGTTACGTGCAAGCTTTGTAGTGTGAGTTATTTGGTGCCAGCTATGTTGTGTAAGCTACGTGGCGTAAGATACAGTGTGTGAGCTATGTGGTGTGAGCTATATGGTGCCAGCTACGTAGTGTAAGCTATGTGGTGCAACATGTGGTGCGTAAGCTATGTGGTGTGATCTATGTTGCGAAAGCTACGTTACCTAATGTATGTGGTGTGCGCTATGTGGAAGCCATACAGTGTAAGCAATGTGGTGTCAGGTCTGTCGTGAATGAATCTATATATATATATATATACATACATACATACATACATACATGCATACGTACGTACGTACATACATACATACATACATACATGCATACATACATGCATACATACATATATACATAAATACATAAATATATACACATGTATCTACATATACATGAATGTATGTATAGCTACGTGGTGTGAGCTATGCGTGGTTGCACTCAATGTGGTGCAAGCCATGTAAGGTAAGCGCACGGGCACCAGCCAAAACCTCGGGAAACCCAGCGCAGGGCGCCCAAGAGGCGCCCACGGGCGGCCACCACCTGGGCACCAGCCACAAACCCAGGAAACCCACCCAGCTCCTTGAGCAAACTCAGTAAACAAGAACCCGCAATCGCAAGCACTGCTTGGGGAAAAAACAACGACACTCAAAGAGCTACGAGCCACGACGAGCGCCGGCAGAGGAGCGCGGCGCCTGCCGGCCCTGGCGCGCCGCTGAGGCGGCCGAGCAGCGGCGGCGCGCCCATGCGCGCCGCGGGGGGCCCGCCGAGCGGCTGGAGCAGAAGCGGCGGGGGCACGCCAGCGCCGGCCTGGCCGAGGCTCAGCGCCGCGTCCAAGAGAGCCTCCGGGCGGCGAAGGGCGGCGGCGACGGCGGCGGTGGCGAGAACCGCACTGCGGCATACCGAAAATATCCCGTCGCAGGGCGCAAGCCCTATATACGGCAGGTTCGTGTGGTGACAACTTCAGCATTGGTCTCAGACACCGCGTGGATCGCTCAACCTTGAGCGATCGGCGCTTTGCAAAGCGGCGGATCGTCTCAGATTGGCCGATGCTGAACGCCTGGAGGCGTTCAACATTGGAACGCCCGCGCTGCGGTCGCTGCCGCATCGGCACGACACGAAACTACTGTACTCGCCAGTGCTGGGCGCGCCTCGCTGGAGGCTCGACGAGCGGCGAGCCTGCGTGGGCTCTCTCGCTTTCTCTCGGTCTGCTGACGACGAGGAGAGGAGAGGAAGAGGAAAAGGGGAAAAAGGTGGCAGGTGGACCTGTCACAAAAAGTGGCAGGGCTCAAGAACATGCTTTGCTGGATTCGCCGCATGGCATAACATTCGCGCTGTGACGAGCGTACATCGTGAATGTAGCGCGAACCACGCCAATCTATATCCCACCACGCCGAAATTTTGCAAACACGGCGTTTTCAATCTAGCAGCGCGCCCAGCAAACCCTACCAGCGACACGTGCTGACCTCTGTCGGCGGCGGGTCGATTCGTGAACACCTGACCGCTCACCAATTGAAAACCGTCGTCCCTAGAGTCTCTTAAGGCCCTACCTGAGAGCCAGTCGCGCTGGTTCAACAGCTGCCCTGGCAAGCTGGTGCAATAGCTGTCCTGGCGCGCTGGTGTGAAAGCTGTCACATGGCGCCCCTAAGGCCCATGGGGGTGCCATGGCCCGCGGGGCTCGCAAGGCCCAGAAACCCGAAGCCGCCCTGACCAATCAAGGGGCCCATGGGGTCCTCGCGGCTCGACCGGCTCGCGCGGCGCATTGGGCCCATGCGCATTGCGGCGCCCATGTGGCCCAGGACACCTTATGTGAACTTGTGGGGTTCATAGGGCTGGGGAGGCTCGCGCTGCCCACGGGCCTAGCGCAGCCCACGAGAATCCGAAAATTCAATTGAATGAATAGACAAGGCCCGCCTTGCTCCCACACGCGCGGAGCTGGCAATCATCGACGCGGGACACGTGAGCCCGAAGACACGGGAGCCGGCATTCAACAGAGGTTTCCACACGGGACCTCGGTGCTGGTGTCGGGTTCTGGCGCCCCGACCCAGGCGGAGTAGCAGTGAAATAATGAGAAAGAGAAGGGATTGCAAAGCGAATACGCAGGGGAAGAGAAGGAGTAGTAGTAGCCGTCCGTTACGCCCCCTCCCCAAATCTCCGGCATCGCCAACCCACCGCCCCACTTTTCCCCACCTTGAAACCCCCCCCCCATTATCCTCCCCAACATGCTCCCATGCACGAACTTGCTACGAGGGCCCCTGCACGGGCAGCTCCGAGTTGCACCCTATTATGTTATTCCTTCCTCTCCTGTCCTCCTCCTCCTGCTCCTCCTCCTCCTCCTCCTCCTGTTCCTCCTCCTCCTCATTTGTTCCTCCTCGTCTTTCCTCTTCCTCCTCCTATCCGCCTTTTTCCTTCTCGTATTAGCCTTAATCCTCTTGGCGTTATTAGCAATACTATTCGTACTGATATATTATTCGTCATAAGAATGATTGGTCGTGTTGGTACGATTCGCCGTAATATGATACCTATACGACCACCCTACCGGGGATAAGGAGGTTGGGGGGGGTGGAGGGGCCGAGCAATGGGCAACAATGGTGATTGTTCTCCTGACGATGCCAATGGAGATTTTTGTTGTCGGAGGCCTGCTGAAGCCCCTCTTGTCGCCACTGACTAAATCGCTTCAAAAGATTGCTCAACGGCTGCCCTTCGGCGGTCGAGACCGATGCACCGCCATCATAGCTCTTTTTCCCTTGCTCAAACAGCGCAAACGGCTGGAAGCCCAGCGAAAGCTGGAAGCCCAGCGAAAGCGAAGCAGCCCGGCCGGCCCGCTCACTAACAACGACGACCAAGGGATCTTTCTGCGGTAGTGTTTGTGGAGGTCGTGGCTCGGCGGGCGCCGGCAAAGCCTGGCGCCCGGAGACTGGTCCAAATGCCGGTGCAGGCGCCGGGAGTGCGGGCGCAGGTGCTGGTGTAGGAACCGGAGCTGGCGTCGGCGCTGGCGGCGGCAACGCGTAGCGGCCGAGGCGCTTGTACCGCCGCCCGCCGCCGCTGAGGATGTCGTCCAGCTCCACGCAACACTCGTCTATCTCCGACGCGGGGCCGCCCTCCGCCACGTGGTCGAGCAACCACTGGAGCCCCCAGAACAAGTACTGCAGGTGCCAGAAGATCTCATCCACTGGCCGGGGGTTGTCGTCCTGACAGCGTCGCCGACTTCGCCCTGCAAGGTCGCGGTCCGCAGGCGCCCCTGGGGCGCCTACGGGCCGCGAGCCTGCAGGGCCAAATTGGCGGCGCTCCGGTCCGGATCCCACGGTTCGTAGGTCAAGATATCCTCCATGCGGCCGTGGACCATCTGGGCGAACATCGTGATCGAGTGCTGCATCCGGGTCGGGCTTTGGCCGACAGGCTGCCGACGGGCGCTGGGCAGCGGACGCCACACTGCGCCAAAACGAAGGCGACGAGCGCCGATGGGCAGGCGCGGCGATCGGCTGCCCTCGCGACGCCGGATGTCAGGCTCCGGCAGGTCCATCCGATGGAGCTGTAGTAGTCGTGGGAAGCGTGGCGCTAGCAAAGCCTGGCGCAGCCTGCACGGTTGAGCGAGTACACGCGCATGTGGGGGAAACTCAGATCGAGCCGACATGGATACGGTGGCCGTTGGGGGCGCTTTTGGGCTCTCTTGGGGCCGTCTTGGGGCCGTCTTGGGGCCGTCGTGGAGTCCTTGTAGGCCGTCTTGAGGCCGTCTTGGGGTCCTCTCGCAGCGCCCTGGGCAAGTCTTTGGGGCCATCTCGGATCCTCTTGGCCCCTCTGCTGGGGTCTCTTGGCTCATCTTGGCGCCGGCGCCCTGTCGGCGTATCCCTTTTTTATGTAGACGGCCCAACTCCAGGGGTCCAGACGCACCAGTTTTTCGATTCGCTTCCAGCCGCGGCGGCGAGCAGGGCCTCCGAGGGCCAGGAAACCTCGACCTAACCTCGGCGCCAACCTCAAAACGGGACCGGGGCCCCTCCCAGGGCCCCGCGCCGGCGCCCTGTCGGCGCATCCCTTTATATGTAGACAGACCAACTCCAGGGGCCCAGACGCACCAGTTTTTCGATTCGCTTCCAGCCGCGGCGGCTCCTCCTCCTCCCCCTCCTCCTCCTTCTCCGAAACCGGCGCCGGAGCTCTAGGCAATTTTCGCTCGGCACCCCGGTCCAGCAACGACCAGCGACCGATGAACGGCGCTGACGACGACGATGACGACGACACTAAAACGGCGCCGCAGCTCCAAGCAATTGTAACTCGGCACTCCGGTCCAGCAGCGACCAACGACCGACGACGACGACGACGACGACGATGGCGACGACGACGACGATACGCGGGCAGTCGTGGGAAGTTTTTTCTGGGGGGGAGCCTCTCGCAAAATATTTGCTGCCCAGCTTTCCCGGGCTGTCTTGGGGCCGTTTCGGTGCCCTCTTGGAGCCCAGTGGGCGGTCGCGGACGACTCGCCGCCGTCGTAATGTTTTTCATTGTTCTGTCGGGCTCGCGCCATCCGAGGCTGGAAAGCCAGCGAAAGTGCGCCTCACCTGGTCAGGGAATACGGAAGCGCCGGCAAAGCCCGGCGCAGCCCGTGCCCCCCTAATAGCACCACAGCAAAGCCCGTGCGCTTGGAAAGCCCGTGCGCTGGCAAAGCCCGCACACTGCAGCAAAGCCCGTGCCGCCTAACAGCACTACAGCAAAGCTCCTGCCCTCTGGGAAAGCCCCTGCGCTGGCAAAGCCTGGCGCAGCCCGTGCCCGCTGGAACAGCTGCGCCGGCAAAGCCCGGCGCCGTCACGATTCGCGCGACAGATAAACATAATGCAAATCATTGTTGCCCATGTGAACAACGACGGCGGCGTTTTCTGGCCCAGTGGACGCGATTGCCCACTGCGCCAGCGCCGTCGGCGGAGCGAAGGGGGCGACAGCGATGCGGACGCCGAACTCCAAGGCGACCGACATCACCACGAACTCGTCCGCGTACTCTTTAGTGGCCAGCTTCTGCACCCAGCGAGTGCACAGCGCCTCGGTGCGCACGGGGCCCTGGTCATCCAGGCCAGCAAAGGCTGCGTAGATTCCCATGAGGCACAGCGCCATGTAGAGGGCGTAAAGCTCACTGGACGGCACGTCCTGCACTGGGAGAGGGGAAGGCCCGCAGGCCACTGCGTCCACCTGCATACTCGGGCCGATCGAGACGACCGCCCAACCAGCACGCAAAAGCCAACGAATATCTCCGTCGTAGGCGGAGCCGTCGATGCAGACGGCGTCGCCTAGCACTCCACTCTCGGGCTTCACAGCCCACCTATACTCGGCACCTTGGAGGATCTTGGGGAACTCGGTCCTCTTGGAGTCCACCAGGGCCCTCGTGAACAAGATATCAGGCTGAGTCAGGGCCACGGCTGCGGCCCCCATTCCACTATTGTCATGGTCCCTCCTGATCAGCTTGGAGCCGTCACAGCCCCATAATCGGTGAAAAACCGACCCCCTCTTCCGGAGGCAACACTGGCACCGATCATCAATCACGTATCTCTTCCTGAACACATCGGCCTGAGTCCAGAGACCTCCAGAAACCTGTGCGACAAGCAGACTGGCCCCAAGAAAATCTCCAGCACCTCTTAACCTAGCAAGTTCATCACGCAGAGGCTCCACATATGGCCCCCAAGAGGCATTGTAATGAGCTCCCGCACGTATACGCAGCAGCCGTCTAGTCGCTTCATCCGCTAGGGTTTGCACAGTCCTAGGCCCTACTTCTTTGATGTTGATGGTCACTCCGTCAGTGTTGACCCAAACATCCCAGGAGACAGCTTCCCACGCGAGCCTTCGAAGGGTGAGCACTACCGCTCCTGCTGGGCCTAGGACCGTCCTCCACCCTTGAGACCTAGCCTTGACCGCGTAGTCGAAGGCGTGCTTCATCTGGGCATCCGCGGCCCACGAATCAAATACTGCTCTGACCCACATCTGCAGCGGCAAAGAATTTGCTGCGAACATCGGGTCGAGCTTCTCGACCTCAGCCAAAAGGAACTGCAAGCTGCGGCTGCGGCCCTTGACAGGCCCGAAAATAGCCGCCCCTGTCGAGGCGCGCTGCTGCCCCAACTGCGCGTCGCCGAGACCGACGACAGAAACACCATGCATTACCGCCAGCGTGGGGCCTCCTCGATACACATTCTGAAGCGGCTTCCGAGAGAATCTGAAAGCCCTGAACCTTCGCACCCTGCCCCTGGTCGCCTTCAGTCTCTTTTTTTGTGACTTTTCTACCCTTTCCAGTCCTCAGCTTGAAATCGACCCCGAGGTTTTTGGTCGCCTGAACATTCTTGAGCCCAAATTCCCGAAGCGCCCATGCCAGCTGCTTTCCAAGTTTCGGGTCCGAGGCCACCAGGATCGATTTACGTCTCGAAACCTTCATCTCGAGCTTCCCCAGGGACCTGCAAACAAACAGAGTGCACCTAACTAGCTGAGTCCGAACATGTTTCTGATCACCCACTGCCTGGAGACCAGCGTCGTCCACCATCAAAGAAATGCCGATCCTCGGCCACTTCTTGGCCGCAGCGTCGAAAACATCTAACAACACTACTTTCAGCAGCGTCGTCGCATACGAGCAGCCTGCCACAATGGTGGCGTTCAGCTCAAAAGGCAAAGACACCGCCTCTCCTACGTTAATGACCCGCTTGCCCGAGTAAACCAACAGGGGAAACGTTAACCTCCTCAAACTGAACCCGTGCTCGTTGCATGCTCTTATCAATTGCTCGTGCGTGATTCGTTCGCACGCCTTCTCCAGATCAATCAGCGTGCATCCACTGAAAAAATTGCTGGCTCGAGCGGCCTCGTTCAACAACGCCTGCTTCCAGATAGCCATCTCGCAACTCTTACCCTTTCCTCCGCGCATGCACGCGCGCGCTTGCCCCCCCCCCCCCCCCCCCCCCCCCCACCTCCCGCCTCCTCATGACGAGGCCGACTGTAGAGTCGCACAGGGCCGAAGATAATCCCAATGCCCCCCCCCCCCCCCCCCCCCTTCCCTCAGGCCTCTGCAAAAACGGCAATATGAGCAGCACAATCTGCTCGGGCAGCTGGGAGTACGTGTCCCACAAATACATCGGGACACTTAGAGCAAGCAGGCCAGAGGTACAGAGCTGCTTCAGCGCGTGCGGGGCCCAATTACAGACTCCCACGGCGGTATGTTTCTTGAACTTCCCCAATACGGACCTGATTTTATATGGCGCAACAGGCGGCTTCTGGTCCTCGAGGGGCATCTCACTGAGCATCCTGGGAGCGACCTTGGGCACCTCCCCGAACCTCCAGACGCGAGTCCACTCCTCATCCAGGGCCTCCACCTGATCCTGAAAACAACCAGGGGCCCCATCGAGGCCAGGGTCCGCGGGGATCCAATCGTTGGGCTGCTTCGTCCACCTGTGAACTCTCCCTCCGCCGTTTTCCAGGGCCGAGCGGGCCCATTGTCTCCACTCTTGTTGCCGAGACCTTTTCCAAACCTGCTCCTCACCCTGGATGCACTTTACATGGTCCTGGATCGCTTCGCGCAGCGCCTCGGCGTGGTATCCTTCCAGAGAAAAATGCTTATGCCTCCAGTTGGCCCAGCGCTCGCACTCCCACAGGATCGTGGGCGGCGTAGTAGTAGTAGTAGTAGTAGTAGTAGTAGCAGCCGCAGCAGCAGTAGTAGTAGTAGTAGCAGCAGCAGCAGGAGGAGTAGTAGTAGTAGTAGTATAATAATAATAATACTAATAATAATAATAATAATCATTCGTCGCGTGATTGGTATTAGTGTTCTGCGCCGTCGTATTCTATTGCGTCCTATTATTATATCACTACTCCTAGTACTCTCAGTAGTTCAAGTGTTCTTACGATTGCTATTCGTATCCTTAGTATTTGCAGTATAATTGTGTGTATTCCCAATCGTGTTATGATTGTTGTCATTCGTCGTGTTATTGTTGTTATTAGTGTTAGTCGTGGCATTATTAGTACCACTAGTATCGGTAATAATATTATCAGTCGTGCTAGTATTGTTAATATTGGTAGTATTCATACTAATAGTAGCATTTCCAATATCAGTCGTGCATTAGTATTACCACTACTAGTCTATAAGAGTAGTGGTACCAGAATTACTATTGTTATTAGCAATAGTACGAATAGTAGCATTGTGCTTAGTTTCATGATGCTTTACGATTAGTATGAGTATGATGCGTCTTCTTCTGAATGTTGATAGTAGTATGTCATTTACCTTTCGTATTATTATCGTTAGTCATATTATTAGCATCCTTAGTTTTAGCAGTATTGCTATTATTGCGACTAGTGCTCTTACTATTTTCTAAATATCATTATCCTTATGTTCGTTAGTGTTACTATTGATGGTATTTTCATTAGTATTATTATTAGTATGCGGATTTCTCTTCTTCTTTTTTATTGTTATTCCTCGTTTTCCTCCTCCTCCTCCTTCTCCGCCTCTTCCTCCTTCTCCTCCTCCTCGTCCTCCTCCTCCTTCTCCTCCTCCTCGTCCTCCTCCTCCTCTCCCTCTTCCTCCTCTTCCTCCTCCTCCTCCTGCTCTCCCTCCTCCTCCTCCTCCTCCTTCTCCTCCCCCCTCCTCCTCCACTTCATGGCAACCTCCTGGCCTCTCAAAAGGCGGAGCGAGCCTTGGCGCGCGGGAGGATGGTGCGGTTGCGGGGCGCCAGTAGCCTCGGAACGCTGGCGTTGAGTGGCAGGCAGCTGTCGTTCATCCTGAGGGTGACGCTTCCGCCGTCCACCTGCAAGCGAGGAAGGGGGCGCCGAGGGGCTCACGGAGCCCACGGAAGACTTTTCCTCCTCTCAATCCTCAATCCTTTCCTCCACCCCTTCCTGCAGCATCTCACCACCACGGCCGCCGTCACCACGACCAGCATACCCATGTATAAGTCTGCTCGTTTTTTTTTCGCTGCCAGAGAGGACAGGCAGATCCGTGAGCGCACTGCAGGGCTTGAGAACACGACTCGGAGACTCTGAAAGACAACCAGGATCCCCCCATTCTTGCTGAGCAGGAGGGTGAGAAGGGTAGGCGGATGGCCAGACAAATTGGAGCCACCGCTCCCATGGACGATGGAGAATACCGACGGCGGAGCTCCAACCTCCGCAGGCAATAGTCAGGACTGACAAAAGTACCGCTACCACCAGCTAGGGCGGTGGACGCTCCCTCCCCTCGAACTGGTGGCACATCCTTCCGGGCACTCTGGAGGCATGTCCGGAAGAAGGTGCCACCAGCTCGAGAGGATGGGATAGCCCCCCCCCTAGCTGGTGGTAGTGGTACGTTTGCCTATGGTGAAATATATCCGAACAAGCAAATTCACGTGGCTCTGCTATTTTCTTCGCCACCAAGGAAGACAGACAGATCCGCGAGCACTGAAGAGCCCGAGAGAACGGCCAGACGATTGGCAAGCACTGACCAAAGGCATTGAAAGACAAATCGGAATCCCCCAACCCCACGCTTGGCACTGGCCAGAGTTATCTAAGCGAAGCGCTCAAAACGAAGGCCGCAGACGCGTTCAACAAAGAACTGCGGATAGGCCGCGCAACTAGAGTCTTGAACTTAGAGCGCGTTTCTTTATGTTCGGCGATGACGGGCGTCATGGGGGGGGGAGGGGGGAGGGCGGAGGGAGGTATGACGTGAACCCCCCCCCCGCCGTGTGGTTCCGGCACCACTGCCGCGCCCGCGCGCACGACGCGACGAGCGACGAGCGACGAGCGACGACGACGACGACGCGAGCAGCATGTAAGCGGCGATCTGCCCATTGCGCCTATGTACACCACAACGCTCGCGTGCACCACACCGCGCGTGTGCACCACAGCGCCTGCGTACACCGCAACAGCCGCGTGCAACGCACCGCCCGCGTATACCACAATACTTGGGAGCACTACAGCGCCGGTGTACATACACCGCAGCAGCCATGTGCAACACAACGCCTGTGTACACCACAGTGCTTGCGTGCACCGCAGCGCCTGTGCACGCCACAGCGCCTGTCTACACCACAGCATCCGCATGCAACGCAGCGCCGGTGTACACCACAGTGCCTGCGTGCATAGGACAGGTATAAGGGACAACTAAACGCCACGCCAGGAAACTTCTGATAATCGAATGCGATGTTCCTCCCTCCTCCTCCACCTCCTCCACCTCCTCCACCTCCTCCTCCTCCTCCTTCTTACCTTCTGTCGTGCGGTTTGGCGTTACGACGCACGTGCGCATCTCAGCGTGCACCGCAAAATGGTCGATTGAATCGGTCCATTTGTTTCTCGGACGGCCTGTTTAGCTGGAGCCTCCTGGACGCAAATGGGAGTTAGGGTGATACGGGCGGACTCGGGGGGACTCGTAGATTCCAGCGGCGCTCCTTTGTCCATGGAGATTTGTTTTCCACTGTTTCTCTGGAGCCCACACGTGTTCCATCTTCTCACAAGGCTTCCTTCTGAAATTATATACACAACAATGGTGCTGTGTTGCACACGGTTGATGTGGTGCACAAAGGCGCCGTGGCGTACACACGCACTGCAATGCACGCAGGCATTGTGGTGTACACTGGTGCTGTGTTGCGCACGGCTGATGTGGTGTACGAAGGCGCTGTGGTGTACACAAGAGCTGCTGTGCCCGCAGGCACGGTGGCACAAACTGACGCTGTGTTGCACGCGGTTGCTGTGGTGTACATCGGCGGCGTGGTGTACGCAGGCGCTGTGGTGCACGCGGGCACTGTGATGTACACAGGCGTGGTGGTGCATATCGCCACCTACATGTTCGTGCTACCCGTCCTCCGTCATTCCTCAGCATTCCCACACGCCGCCGGCGCGAAACGTTACGTCATCGACCCCCTCCCCCCCAGATGATTGCCGTCATCGGCCCCGACTTCAAAAAACAGGCTCCAGCCGCGGCCGCGCGCACGACGACGATGAGCGACGAGCGACGAACCACGAGCGACGACGACGGACGACGACGACGACGACGACGACGACGACGACGACGACGACGACGACGACGCCTGCGGACCAGACACCTATACGGATTCCTACGCGGACACCTACGCGGATCCCAATGCGCACAGCGGCAGTGCCCGGAGCGCACTGGGATGGGGGGGGGAGCGGGGCCATGACGCCCGTCATGCCCCAAGCAAGAAGGAAACGGGCTCTTACCGGAAGCAGTCCCCCTTATCAGCGGCTCACGTTCCTGACTTATGGCTGAATAACGGCCTTTCTTCATACAACATCTCTGGATGCTGCAGAACTCCGGGCACCGAAACGCGGGCAAATTAGTGTTATGTTTCTGCCGGGGGGCGCCGCGCGGGCAAAAGCTGGCAGCGAACGCCCCCCCCCCAGACGCCCCAGAAGGTTTCGCCTACCAAGTCCTCGAGGCCATAAGATTTTCGATGACCACTCGCACTCCCCACAGCACGCACGCGCGCGCAAGGGCCGCCGAGGTCCGCATCAGGGCGCTGCGCAGGCTGACATAATCCGTTTCAGTGAGCCCCAGGATGCCGAGCGGCCCTGGCCCCGAAATCCTGGAGGGGGGCGGGGCGGGCCCTGGGCCATGAGGCGCAAGGGGCCCCCCCCCATGCGAGGCGGCAGGCAGAGGCGCAGGCGAGAGGGTGGAGGGCACGCCAGACGCGAGGCCCGAGAACGCCCTGGCTGGCAGAGCGAGCAATGTCAAACGCGCAGCCACGGAAGCCCCTGCGCGCCAGCTCGAGCGAGAGATGCTTGCAGCCTGCGAAGATCTTGACGCGGCAGCCCCCTTCTCTCGTGGACACTCGTCGGCGTGCATCTCCGGGGCCAGCTCAGCCATCGCCGCGCCCGCGGACTCCGCCGCGCTCGCAGCCAAGCCCCGGCGGAGGCAGAACGCGCGCGGCGCTCCCGATGCCCCGAGGCCCCGCGGCCACGCGGCCCCCTTCACGGCCGAGAGCGCCAGGTTGCTGGCGACCCCCAAGCCAAAGACGAGCGCGACCCCCCCCGAGACCGTTCAAGAGCACCAGCGACAAGGGAATCGACCTGGCCTGCTTGGCATGGCCACTGAACGAAGCAGGGCGCCCCCGCACCGCGCAGGGCCGCGCCTTCGCAGCATCGGCGGCGCCCAGGCCCGACGGGCGCCACCGGCGGCGCACCTGCACATCGGCCGCGAGGGGGGCGCCAGCGGGCGCCGACAGATCCCCCTTCCTTCTCTGACGCTGAAATGAACGATAGATTTGCCGCGCAATTTAAGAGCGCACAGCCGAAAGACCCAGCTGAAAGAAGTTGGTGTTTTACGGCCCTCCAAGCACAATGATGTAGACGGCCTCCTGGAAGCGCGCAGCGAAGTCGAGTTGCCCATCCTCGGGCCCCAGGAGCTCCTGCGGCATCTCGACGAAGATCGGGCTCTCGACCAAGACCTCTGGAGTCTGGGCGCCCATGGGTCTGACCGCGCTGACGTCGCCGAAGACGCCCGTGCCTCCGAGGGAGTGGCCCCGAGCCCTGCTTGCAGGGATGCCAGCCTTGCACCTAGACTCCCCCCTCATACCCCCCAGCCCACAAACTACCGCCGGGCCCAGGAACCGAGCAACGTGGCCGGCGAGGCATGCGTCCGACGAGGTACCCCCTGGGCCCCAGTCTATCGAGCCGCGCCCGGCAAAACAACAACAGCGCGACAAAACAACTGTTTCCCTGCTGACGGACCCCAAGACCCTGCAGCGGTTTGCGGCGCGAGCCGAGATCAAAGCGTTGACGCGATGGAAGATCGCTAACATTTCACAACGAAACAGCAAAGGCGAGCGCAATGCCCCACGAAACGCCCCCGACTTTGCCGCCGACGCGGGGGCGCCAGAGGCGCCAGAGGCTGGCGGCCCTCAGCAACTCCTGATTGCGGCGCGCGGGGCCGATGCGCCTCTCGCGGCCCGCGCCCTTGTCGACCAAAGTGACTGCGCCCGCCGAGGGGCCGTAGATCTCGCGGACGACGACGCCGACGCGGCGGGCGCGGCCGACGAGCTCGCCCCGGACCGCGCCGACCGTACCCGAGTCGGACCCCGCGATGTTCAGGTTGTTGGCGCAAGCCAGCAGAGCGGGCTTCCCGCCCGTCACGTCTGGCGCCGGGCGCACGCCACTCAAGATGCGATCCGCGGGCACCGCCCAGCCACGCACGGCCTGGCGGCAGTCGACCCGCCGGGCAACCCGCACGGCCCAGCACCAGCCCATCGGCACCACGGCCAGGCTGGGCGAGACAAGGGAGCCACCGGGGAGCGCCGCCACTTCTGGCGGGAGCTCACAGGCCCCCCCCCAGCAGGGCCACGCCCAGCCCCGGCAGCGCAGGGCACTCCGACTGGCCTGGGGAGATCGCAAGGTGGCAGAAGTACTTGGCGAGGTTCGCTTGCGCGGTGATGACCTCCTCGCTGGGGCCGCCAGCTTGCCACCCGAGGACACATTCAACTGGGGGCACTTCGCGACGCGGGCGCTGACCGACCTGCAGCCCGAAACTACCCGCAACGTCCCAGACTTCTCGCGGGCGAAGAGGGGTGCGATCAGGTCCTGCGGGCTGGGCGCGTACCAAGTCGCGGCGGCCCTGTCGAGCCGTGCCACGGACGCCGCCCACAGGGCGCGGTCGTCCGCCAGGGTCATGTCCATGCACGGCACGGCGGCTGACTCTCGCACCTCAGCCCGAAGCCGCCTTCAGTCAACATCACTCGCTGCTTGAACTCGCTGCTTGAACTGTCGGAGGCACTGGGCCCCATTAGGGTCGATAACAGCTAGCGCGGCAAGGGGGCGCTCCAAC